TTTTATTTTAAATCTAAGATTTGATTTTTCATCATAATCTATAATATATCCTAGACAGATAAACCGTCTTCGCTCAGAATCGTTTTTCGTATACAATGATATAATATCATTGGATTCAAATTTAATTCCATCCATTACACTGTAATGATTACAGTAACCCACTTGTAACCTACTGTATAGCAGAGTGACATCCACGACTTACCCGCCTTTTTTTATTGATCTTAAAATGTACATAAATAAATTTCCGCTTCGACAACACAGGCCACTAGCGTTAAATTTTTAGTAAAATACAATTATATAATAATAAATATGGTATATATCTTAATCTTTATACTATTATAACAAGTTTTGAACATATTAGATAATATTTTAATATTAAACTGCCATATTGTAATAGTGCAATCGATTAAATATCATTATTATTATATTACAAACATACAATGTTTAGTTTAGTTATAACTTACAACAYCGACAAACACGAGCAACACGCTCATCAGTAAAAGTTTATGTTACCGCCATTGTGTATTTTCCAATGCTCGTAATATAGCTTGTAACCATCAACAGATACCAAACAACGAATGAACACGTTAAGACCATATCGTATATAATATAAATGATTTTCGTAATTTATTCACATTCTCTACTCCAGTTTTTCGTAATCGGTCGATTGGTGCGTTGCGACGGGTAGTTTTATCGCCACAGGGGGGGGGGTTCGAAAAGCGATCGGATCGGTAAGAAATTCTTTGTTACCAGCACAAAATTGTGTGCTATACTATACATTATAATGCAACAATGGTTGCACCGCTGACTATTTCTCTCGCAACATACATTCCGCATTACAATAGTCGCCTTGGCACGGAAAAAGGTGGAAAATACGACAATCGAGAAAATCGAGACCACCGTCACGTGGACACGATTTTCCTAGGGCCATTTCGTGTCGAGATGATGAATGACTGTGAATTTGCTCCGCACATCCCGCGACGCRCCATAACCATGCCTTGAGCGTCCTGTCGTGTTAACCGAACGCATTGCTCGTTTTATTTTTTTTTGTTTCTTATATCATTTTTACACACAGACACACAAACACACATACCCATTTTGAAACATTTAGGTACATAGCGTTCTTGTGCGAGCATAATGTCTATTAGATTTTTTACAAGTTGGTGGTGTTCTACTGTTATTTTTTTTCCACCTTTCATTTGTTTTAGCGAGTGCGACAGATGTTCGGGAACAAGATAAAACYGCTGGCTGAATCAGCACGAGCTGAGACGAATTATTAATCTTGCACAGCTACCGTCAGTCAAATGTCCATCGCTTTGCATTATATATTGTTATGCACAGCTAGTGTAATAAATGGCTGTAAGAGTTTTTTTTCTGTTTTCAACCTTATTTTAGTTTTAACACGAAAGTGGAGAAACTAAAAATTATTTTATGACTAAAAGGTTTGTGGAGGTACTCGCCCACAAATACAATTATGATTTTATATTTAAAAAACCCTTTTCGCTCATAATTCAAATAATCGTACCTACTCTTCATACAAACATATAAAATAATATAAACTATCATATATAAAATAATATGTATAAATGTGTATATWTTTTTAAACCTTTTAAGCTTTAATGTAGGTAAACCACATGTCCACATTATACTCAATTTTCACAAACCCACTTTTTACTCGTAATCTGAATTCTCCCCTTATCATTATACCTACACAGTTGTTATAGTTACAAATATAAAAAATTTTCTCAACCAGCTGTTTTTTTTTTTTTATTCAGCTAGTAATATTGCACGTTATACTGTATTTTATGTTGCAGAAATCATAAACTTTGTATTTTTCATACCCCAAAAACTAATTTATTGTTAGTAAAAGGTTTTCAATAAAAATTTAAACAAGTTAAATATTTATACTAAAGAAGTCTTGTAATATATTTTTTTAATAAACCAACTTCAAATAAATTAATAATAAATAAAAAAAAATAAATTTTTTCTGAACTAAATTTAAATGATATATAGGCATTTTTTTTTTCTTAGATATTTTGACAATTTTCTATTGTTTAAATTTGTTTTARCTTTTGAAAATTTACTAAATCTACTAATATAATATATATTATGATATACGTATTAAATCACTTTCAAGTTTCAATCATATATAGTTAATTGTTAAACATTATAAGACATTTGAAGTTATATAGTCAATTCATCGCCTATAAAGTATCAAACATTTTTATTTTGGATAGTTAACATAATTACTTTTTTTGTTTAATTATAAAGTACCAATGACTTAATGTTAGTTAAACAAAAACTTGGTACCTATTATAAGTGTTTTTTCAGTAGTTTTCCTATATTTTCAAAAAAAATGGAATAACAATTATTGTGATTATTTATCTTATACTTTTATAGCATTATTATAAATAAACATCTCGTAATGATTATTACTTCGARTTATATGCAACCATCGTTATTGTGAAAATGGTTAAATGCATAAAAAAATTGTTTTTCAATTTCATTTTTAACTTATTGGCCGATCAGTGATTATAATAATAATAATAATATATAAAAATTGCATGTTTTTTTTTTTTTTTTGGATTAATACTTAGGTATTTGTATTTATTATTTTATACATATTAAAAATCTTACTCATACAATATTTTTTATGAATCAATTATAATTTTGATARTGATATTTTATAAATATACTTTAGTTACGAGAGTTTCACTCAAAATTTGTCTTCAAAAATTTAATATTAAACCTCAATTACACACAAGTCACTCAATTTTTCAATATTAATATCTTAGTTTTAATATGAATTGATGTAATAAAATAAATAAAATTGAATACGGGCTTTTATTGATTTGGTCTTAAAAAAATGTATTATGATGAAATGTTATTTAAATGTATTAGAATACCTATCTAACCATAAGAAATATCAGTATTTCAACCGCTTAAACCTTTGGACGGTAGCCAATTTTGCATAAAATTATTATAGAATAAAACTTTTATTTGGCATAATGCCCATTTAATCACCTCAAGTGGACATCTTAATCTATGGTATAAACCGTTTTACTAAAGAAAAAAAATTGCGATTTCCGGAGACATTCGGCTAAGCATACATAAGCACTTATATATAATTCTTTTTAATAGATTTATTTATTTTTTTATCTTATTTTCTTCCTTTAAATACGAACTTTTTTCTACGGGTTAGTTCTGCGAAGCGTTTTTAAGACGTTGCATTACATTAAAAAACATTTATTTAACAGGGGGAATTTCGTATTATTTTTTTGTTTTTCGTGTTGAAATAAATTCTACGGTATATTGATATTTTTTTTTCTGCTTACCTATAGTCGTGAGCGTAAGCGTGGACCAATAAAAACAGTAAATGTACTGTCTGGAAAGCGATGAATTCCTAGCACCTTGCAAGTTGTACACCCAATTATCCGACCCAAACCCGATCACATAGCTTATAGCGAAATATAAGCACGAGTTCCAGTGTATGAGTATAAGTATGGCRAACACCACCTTGCAAATGCGGAACACGTTTGGATACCCGGTTTTGGTTTCTGTGCGGTCGAAGAATTCCAGCATCCTCGGTACCCGGAGCAGTCGATTGGCACGGACGATCACAGGGCAGGGCAGCACGTCTGCCGAACAGCTGCCCGACGGCCACCATAAGTACGCCAAGTCGGTGGGGAGCAGACTCAGGAAGTCTGATTTCCATTTGGACGTGCTGAAGTAGTTTTCCCGTAGCTTATGAGAATTGCGGACCATCAGACCTTGGTCCAGGAAACCTGCAAACAATATTAATATAACAGTCGGTATTAGTAAACGTTATGACTATTATTACTCGAAGCTGATGGTTGTTGTGCTATAAAAGTATAAAACGGCGACCACCCGTAGAAATGTCAACGAACTATTTCTTAAACGACCCAATAACTCGTATTTCCTAATAATATTAAACTATGTCGTTTTTAATACCATCAGATAGCTATTTAATTACTTTTAGTCAATCGATGAACGCATTTTGATTATTATTATTTATGTAGAATAAAGAAATTACGGTAAAAACGTGATGAATCTGTACCGCGTGAAGTTGGTATTATGGATACTTGAGTTTTTCGTTTTAAATACTATCCTAATCTCTGTCTTTAGAATAAAACGAACTTTTGATTTTAAGTGTACCTATAGTCATACAATGACGGATCATTGTGGTGTATATCAATTTACATGGAAGTTGAAGCTTACTCTATTACCGTTAGTTGCTTATCGATTTTTTTTTTTTTTGAGTTTTTATATTTTTAATCCATTTAACGTACAATTAGAAATTATTATAACAAATGAATAACAAAAAAAAAATAATAATTACGTTAACGGAATGACAGTCGACCAGCACGGAGACACCTACAAAACTATATATAAGAACTTAATTTAACTAAAAAAAATGWGGGCATTTTGAATGGGCAATGCGCCGACACTAGTGAGACGTAAGTTTTTTATTAAACCATTTTTATTTTAGTATTATAATTCTGGTCTGATTTCTTTCAAGTCTTCTGTGTACATTATCTGTCAKTGAGTTGGATGATGATAGTTTAATTATAATGGATTGCTGCGAGAGCTTAGAGCAATATGATTTCATAACGGGTCGGTATTTTTAAATATCTGCGAAAATTTTGTTCGAATAATATCAAGCAGAAGTGGATTATTTGTCACAGTCAGAGATTTTGTTTATAAATCGTAATCGTGCGTTGAAAAATCGTAATACTTATGCATAATATTTAGCGCGGCCATCGTTATTCGGTGCACGTCATCTCGGGATTTATTTCGACGAACTGTATCGGATTTCAAAAAAACAAAACCCATTTGCTGTTGCTGGTTTATAAAATATGTTACATACTATTAAGTTATAATAATATTTTATATACAACGAACCCAATAATAATAGCACGTCGACCGCAATTGAATTTTCAGATGGATCGCAAAGGACTCGATAATAATAATAAACAGGTATTGTGTGATGTATAATGTACATATACGCATGTTCATTGTGTTACCTGTCGTCGTGCGGTGATCACGGTGTACGATATATTATAATAAATAATGACACATCGCGTCGAAAGCACGACGACGTATAAAGACGGATTTGGATTTTTTTCCTTTTCGATTTCGTACTTACGGTTATCGTCATCCGATTTGTATGGGATCGGTATAGTGAAGGGCTGCTCGGGTGTGTGGGTGGTGTGCCTCTGTGGGTTATTTATTTATTTTTTATTCCGGTGCATAAAATACGGCACCGCAAGTTGGTCGAAGGTTTGCAAGCATATTATTATTATTATTATTATTATTTTTGCCTGGCACTCTGCGGCAGTGTATTGTGTGAATGTTTAGGCAAAAACGATCGTATGCACACACACAAACACACAAACACACAAACACACATACACCCACCCACTCACGCACGCACGCACGCCTACATACATTAGAGAGTCCTATTAATATTTACGAGACCTTAACGTATAACGTGTCCAAACCACCCTACCACCACCGCCTCATATATAATATCGTATATATGTATTTGAAATACTGTAGTCGCAAAACGTATCGGTCCCCGAACGTTATTAATGATGTCCCCCGGAACTCGTTGGGACCGGATGTTGTAAATAAAAGTGCGTGCGCGCGTTTTATTTTCCAGTGTGATTTACTGCCGTTCGTCCCGCGCGTCAGCTATATACATAAATATAGTGTCCGCGCGAAAGGAATCGGCTCCTTCCCCCCGCCACCCGCACCAGATGAAGTGATGGTGTTGTGGGAGGGGGGG